TTTTAATTTCTAGTATGCAAATATTGCCCTCTAGGAATTCATTCTCTTTCACCTTTGAATATTATCATTTACTGCACTTAAAGGTGCACCTGAGAAAGAAGCAATTAGAAAGAGAGGAAGGAAATGTCCTTACTCCAGCCATCAACACATTTTGAAAAATAAAAAATGACAAGATAAAATATTAAGAAAAGCATTGGCCAATTTAAGCATATTTAAATTCTATAAAATTAAAAGTCACCCACTAGTCACTGGATAAATCAACTTTTCAAAGTGACTTATTTTACAGATGCATTCTCTGTCTCTAAATATTCCCATCATTTAAACATTTCACTAAATCCTCCTTCCATAAAGAACTATCCAGGTTGGTCAGGAAAAAAAAAATGTGACAATATTCTCTTTTTTCCCTTTGAACAACATAATTTTTTTTCTCTAATAGACAGTATCAAGGAGAACACTTTTTGGCTGCTAGTAACAGGAAACTGTATTTAAATCTGTGCCTAAATCATAGGAATGTATATTACGTCACTCAATCAGTTGTCTGGAGGTAGATGGTTCCAAGGTTCTTTCAGGGGTTTCTCAATATCATCAAGACCCGGACACTTCCCACACTCCCATGCCATCCTCCTTAGCATGCTGGTTTTTATTCCCATGCCTATTGCCTCACTGTTGCAAAATGGCTGCTCAAACACCAGACATCACACCCTCATGCTATGCTTAAATATAAGAATCAAGGGTATAGCAAAAGATGGTCTTCTCTCAGAAGGCTCTGTCCTTTATCCAGGGAAGAAACAATTCCAGAAGTCTTCCATATGGCCACAGAACTGGATCTATGGGTATGCCTAATTACAAAGGAAGCTGTGGAAGTATTTCCTTTTTAAGCCTTCCTCCTTGATCTAGTGGCTTCATCTGTGATGGGATGGCACTAGAATGGATTGTCCTGTCCTCCCCTCCCAGGGGGTGACCTGTATCTGTTCCAGTCCTCATGCTCTGAAAGTTTACTCTCTAAAACTAACCACAATAAATGTGTGAAGTTGCCTCACTTTCAAATATACACTGCTGTGCCTATCACTTAAAAATCCAAGAATGTTAAATTAAGAATTAGTGATATAAAGTATTCCTATTTTATCCTAGTTCGGGCATTGAAATACTCTATAAAAATTTCTTTCCACTAATTCTACGTTGTAAGTTATTTGAGGTAGTCATCATGCCTTTCCCTATTTTTATGCTTCAAAAAGTCCTCAGAACAAAGATGCTCAGATGTCAGTTGCTCTTTACGCACTCCTTTAGAGGAGTTACTCAGGACCTGAAGGAACATCAAAATAGGGCTTTGAAAAGGAAGAACAGGGGCGCCTGGGTGGCTCAGTGGGTTAAAGCCTCTGCCTTCGGCTCAGGTCATGATCCCAGGGTCCTGAGATGGAGCCCCACATCAGGCTCTCTGCTCAGCGGGGAGCCTGCTTCCTCCTCTCTCTCCCTGCCTGCCTCTCTGCCTACTTGTGATCTCTGTCAAATAAATAAATAAAATCTTTTTTAAAAAGTGGGGGGGGGGGGAGAACATCCTGGAAGATAAAGCAGGTAGTACCTCTGCTTTCATTAGTGGAAAGGACCTATGCCAATGTCTTTTTGCCCAACCAATAAAAAGTACACAGATGTTCCCAGGAGCAAAAAGCCCCCTGAACCCTTGTAGAAATCCACTGGCTCACTTCCTCTAGCGGCTCAGGGCTGGATCTGTACTCTCCAGGTGGAGTGTTTGTCCACTGAACTTCCAGACCTGAGGGAAGGAAATTCACATCCTCACTTGGTCGTTTTAAGAGCCCAAGATTGACAGGGTGAGATCTCAGGCGCTAGTGAAGACCGTGGGAGCTGGATCAGACCTCCTGGGTTCAAAGCCGACTCTGCTACCAGCAGTGCAACTCTCAACAACCATTTTGCTTTCAGCTCTAGGGTCTTCTCGCCCGTCAAGTGAGGAAAATAATAGCACCTGCGTCCTAGGGTTCCTGTGAGAACCAAATGAGTCAACTCCCAGAAAACGATGGAAACAGCGCCTTGTTAACAGCTTGTTAATACCGAGAACTTGTTAACATTACGCCTTTCAACCAAGAGTGCCTGCAACTCGGCAACACTATGCCTGGGTATGAAACAGCTCCTGGGAATTACAAACCGGAATCCTGGGAGCTGAGTGGCCATGGCTAGGGACCTGGAGAGGAAGGGGAGAAAAAGAACTCAGGGCAGGGGCAGAGGGACAGCTGGGGCGACATTTACATTTACGCAGCGGAACCCATCTACGTACACCCGCGGTCTCTCGGTCTACAATCTCCTCTAGCGTTTCTTCTTTGAGAAGGAGTCCGGCCGGCGAGCGGCGCCGCGCGGCGTTTCTCCAATCAGACACCCCAGGCCGGCGTCACGTACGCGACCCGATCCAATCTCGTCTCCTGGAGGGCGGGAACGCCAAGTTCCTACCTGCACCTGTGGCAGCTGTGGCCGCCTCTCGGTTGTTTGTTGTTGGGTGTTTTTGTTTTTTTTTTTTTTTTTCTTTTTCCCCTCTGACCCCGGAGTTCTGGTTTCTCGAATCACTTGGCGAATAACCAGCAGGTGGGCAGATAGAGGTCTTTTCCCGTGCAGAGGACCGACGTGTAAGCAGGTTCAATGCACCAGAGCGAGCAGCCGATCTCCCCGCGGCTGCCCGGCAGCGCTAGCAGGGAAGAGGGACGCGCAGGAGAATGACAGGCGTGCTAACCGGGAGAGCCTGCGTGGGCATTCACCTGGGGCAGTGAGCCTGGCACCTGCTCCCCGGGCGCCCTCCGGCTGGAGCCAAACGCGCCGCGGGCCCAGAACTGCCGCCACCACTGCGGCGGGCCGAAGTCGGAGGCGCCCGGGAAGACCACCACCACCAGCAGCAGCAGCAGCAGCAGCAGAAATCGGCTTAGCTGGACTGCAGAGATTTCGGCTGACACACCTTCCAGAAAGAAGCCCGACCTCCCCAAGACTACGCGGGAGTGACCCTGCGCCGGGCTTCCAAGTTGTCCAAAGAGTACTCCCTCGGTTCTCTTGGAGGTGAGGGCGACTTGGAGTCGTGGGATCCTGGGAAGCCCGAACAGGTGAGCGATTAGGGTGATTCTGCGTCCGCCAAGACAGAGCCCATTCCGGGGTGTCAACCTGGGGTGCTCCCCTCAGCTCCTGGGGAGAAATTGCGAGCCGCAACTCTCCGCGTACATTTCTGTAATTTGCAGTCTTTTCCTTGCGTAATTGGTGCAAAGCGTTTCCGCGCACACAGTTGGTCGTGGAAAAGAGAATGTAGAGTGGAAGACCGAAGACAGCCATCAGGACACACCACCACCAATGAATAACTTGGGGGTGCTTCTCCGATCTGTACAATAGAGGGAGCAGGATGTTTGCAAACCCAAGTGCAAACCGTGCCGGGGAGGGGGGGCGAGGAAGGAGTGGGTGCCTTTTTACTGGAAGAACTTTAGGCGGTTTTATCTTCTATTGTTTTCAAGTCGCACCCCGAGTGTGTCCTCGGGGCGTCCTGGGAAGGAGCCGGGGCCCAGGTCTCTGCCTCGGAGGCTGCCGCGCCGCCTCGCGTAGGCGCTCCAACTTTCCCAGCGGTTCCGGGAGCCCAGCCTCCAACAACAAACACAGCTAAAGTTTCGCTCCCCGGCGCGCCGGCAAATCCCGGGAGCGCCAGGCGCGTGGGATGGGAAGGAGCCCTGGAGAAACCTGGAAATGCTCCGCGGCACCAGCGAATGCCGAGCATTCGTGGAGTTAATGCCTGTAGACTCAGCACAGAACTGCTCGCAGGACTCTCGCTGCCCGTGCGAGCACCTTCAGTAACAATAAGCAGCCTTTTCGCTCCGCAGTGTGCTGTGTTTAAAGCTGGGGAGAAGCACAATTGTTTGGAGTTCTTGGTTGCGCACAGCAGGTTTTTATCTGGAGGGAGGAATTGCGGGAGGAAAACACACACAAACACACACACCCCACTCCCACCCCCCTCACCCCCCACAGCAATTTTTAATTTGTAACTAAAAATCTCAAAAGTGGGGTTGCCTGGTACAAATAGGCTCGGCGCATATTTTAATAAAGAACTAAGAGACGAGGACGCTTGCCGCTTGGCCTCATCTCAACCATCCGCTGGGGGTGGCTTCCAAGAGACGTAAGATTGGTCTCTGGGGAATAAAAGGAAGCGTGGGATGGCGGTTTTCAAAGGAAGTTAAGTCTAGACATGCTTCTCTGAAAGCGACAAGGCAGAAGTTCTGTCAAAAAAAGAATTTAAGAGAAACACAACACCGTGAGCTTGCCCCCTCGCTCTTATTGGCATGTCAGTTCCCCCTGAAAAACCACATTGAAAAAGATCCTGTGACAGAAGTCTATGGGGGAAAAAGCCTCTGAGGGAAATTTCGGGACTGTTGACAGGGGTCTGACATTCAGTGCTCACCTATAGCGGGGATGCGCTCGCTCCCGGGCTCCCTCCTCCCAGGTGCTCATCCAAGAGGAGGCCCCTCTGGGCCAAGTGTGTCACCTTTGGGCATCCCTCTACAGTCAGTCAAGGTGACAGGACAAAGCCAGCTTCCCTCTCGAGCCGGGTTCATTCAGAGGCCCAGGAACCTCCCCTGGGGCGCCCCGGGAGCGCAGACCACCGCACCCGCCCGGGAGGCCAGACCAGGAAGGAGGCGGGGGCGTGCCAAGCTGTCTGGAGACCAGACGGTGGCGCCCTGGAGACCACCCGTCCGCCTTCACCCTCGAGGGTGCGACTGGACACTGGGAGGGTGGCGCAGCTCCGGGTGCTCGGCTGCGGAATCTCGGACTCCCGCAGGTCGCCTGCGGGGCGGGGCGCGCGGAGGAAGTGTGGCTGGGGGCACGTGACTTAGACAAACCCGTAACCGAGTTCTGTTTGCTTCCCCCTGCACAGGCCGCTGCTTAGGCTCCCACCCGGGAGACCGCCAGCCCTACCCGGAGAGCGGGCCCTTCCCCACCCACCGCACCGCGGGCCCCTCGGTTGGGTGGCCATGGCCGACAGCGGCGGCACGGGCAGCTCGGGGCCCTGGTGGAAATCGCTGACCAACAGCAGGAAGAAAAGCAAGGAAGCCGCGGTAGGGGCGCAGCCTCCCACGCAAGCTGCCCCCGGGGAGCCCGCGCCGCCTGCACCTCCCAGCCCGGACTGGACTAGCAGCTCGCGGGAGAATCAGCACCCCAATCTCCTCGGGGGGGCCGGCGACCCCCACAAGCCAGACAAGTTGTGCGGGGAGAAATCGGGCAGCAGCCGCCGCAATTTGAAGATCTCGCGCTCGGGCCGCTTTAAAGAGAAGAGGAAAGTGCGCGCTACTCTGCTCCCCGAAGGAGTCAGGTCCCCGGAGGAGGCGGGCTTCCCGGGTGACCCGCAGGAGGACACGCAGTAGTTGGAGCGCTTCCGGGACTGTGTCTCTTCCCACCACTCCTCCCTACCCCCAGTTCTAAACCCTAGAGTTCTGGCTCACCCCAGTACCTGGTGTCTCATCCTGCCAACTTCAGAGTATTTCAAACAAGGCCTCCCCGATTTTCTTCGTCCTGGAAATCGACCGAGTTGTCAATATTTCATGACTCAAGGAGGCATTGAGTATTTATCTATGGTAAGAGAAGATACCTGCCACAGAGGAAGTTGGCATAATTATTTTTTCCCAAAAGTTCTCCAGTGACCTCCACCCCTTGGGCCACCTGGGGAGTGAGAAGGGTACTTCTCTGAGTTCGTAGCCCAACTGGGACTGCACAGCCCCTCAAAGGAGGAAGCCAGGAAGCCCCGCTCTGATTCAGGACTTGCTATTGGAAAGCAAATTAACGCCAGAGAAATGCACTTTAGATGTACTTCTTAGATGTACTTTGGTAGACTCAGACGTTACACGAAAGAGGGCAGGAAACCTTAGGTAGAAGCATTTTAAGTAAGACAAGATTGCTTTTAATGTGGAACTACAAAACTGTACTGCCTATTTTAGTGTGGACTATTAAAATTGTTACACTGTAAAACTTAAGGTGACTTTTGTATTTTTTCCATTGTAAGACTGAAGTCCATCATACTTAAAAGCAGGCATACAAAATTCAAAGTGACAGAGTTAATCATTTGCCACACAGCGTAACAGCTACTCTCAGAAAGCTACAGGGAGGAGAACATTTCTGAGGACTAGTAACACCCAGGCTGGAACCAGTTGGCCCCAATACCTCTATGTACTAACGAAATTTGAAGAAGGGAGGGAGCAGTACTAAATAATTACACCTAAATTCTCTTTGTTACTTCAGTACCTCTTCATAAAGTAACTCACAATGCTAGTAATAATTCATTTTAGTACCCCTCGTTAGCCTCACTAACAATTGTCTGAAAATTCTTACTCAAACAGCCAGATTGAACTCTCAGTTTGCACAAAGCTGGCTTCTTTTCCCACCCCTTTGCTTCAAGAGCTTATTTCTTTAGTCTGACTTACGCATTTATCTGGTTTCAAAGCCTTTAGATGTACTAATCTGAAGATTCTGAACAAAAATCTACCTGTTTGCTTTTGTTATGAACTTCAAGGAAAGGAGTAAATGAATACCACTTGCTTTCAGCAAATTACAGGAGAGTTATTGTAGTTGTTAAGGGCCGCTGGGATCATTCCCACAATTCAGTTCACTTATAACCATCCAGAAATACATAGCAAGGAAATTGTAGTGGTCAGAGTGTGTGTGTGTGTGTGTGTGTGTGTACACACAATTTGGGAGAAACAAAACCCTGCCCCTTTCTATATAATACATTCAGAAGCTCCCATCAGGGCAGTCCAAAGGAAATTGTTCATATGAGGATTATGAACACCTTTCATTAGAAGATAAAATATATGAGTTTGTTTTTTTCATCATGAAAAGACTTTTTTTCTGTTGTGTATTTAGAACTGGGAATGTGAGACCAGAGTCTCATCAGTGTGAGCTTCCTGGATGAGGAAGACTTTATATTTAGCTTTAAGTGGGCCTCCCGTCTCTAGACTCTGATGAAGAAGAGGGAAGAAGAGGGAGAGGACCATGTGCTGGAGAAGTTCATGGTAAGGAGGGGACTGCAGGCTGGCACATCGCCAGGACTAAAGCAAGCAGAAGCCGCCAACTAAGGCTTTGTAACACCTTCATAAGGCATTTTGATTCCACTTCTTAGAAAGTAATCAAAATTAGGGTGGATAACTATCCAGAATACTTTTCCCCTCCCAGGAGGACCAATAGGTTAGGACTGTACCCATTTATAAGATCAAGCCTGCAATTGGGTAATTTTAAAATTTTACACTAACTCTTTCATTCATGGTTTTATTGTTTCAAAAAACATTTTTTTTTCTTAAAAATTCTTTTTGATTCACAAAACATGGGCATTTTCCCAGGTTCTATATCTTGTGTGGGGTCGCATCCAAGTCTATAATTGCTGCAGATAACCCACAGCAGACATATATATCAGTGGAACTTACTCACATGACATCTCTACCTCACTGTTCTGGAAGAACTGAAAACCATGCTAATGGCAGGTATGGCAGCGAGTGCAATACACAATCTGCAGTTGAGGTTTGTAATTACAGAGTTTTAAAGCAGTGCTAATTATGCAGTGGGAGGAATGCACTGATTTAATCCCAACTCAGTGAAATCAGAAACCGAGTAGAATTGGTGGGATCAAAAGATCATGGTTAAGATGAGATAATTTGACAAAGTGTCTTGCTGGGATTTATATGCTTTACAGATGATTCATTACATTCTCATACCATGTATACAGTTTTAAGTTTTTTAAACCTCAAGTAATTTATAGTAAATTAAGGGAAAGTGTTGACTTAAATTTGGAGTTAGAGACTTTTGCTTTCTTTAAACCCCCTTACAAATGAAATTTCACTCAAAAGTTTGGACACCATTAAAGAAATTTTAATACCATGCTTCCAAATGATACAGGGAAAAAAGGGACAAAAATCTAGTTGTGTGTTTGCTAAGTGCTTTCATAACCATGATAATTCTATACACAGGGTAGTTTTCACTTCTGTGACTCTCCTTGCTGAACAGTGACTCGTATCACAGATCACCTGAATGTCTCTTCAAGGTCATACGTCCATTGTTCACATTGTTCATCCCCATTGCGATTTGCATTTCAAGAGCAGAGACTCTATTTTATATCTGCAGTTAGGACATTCTGCTTCAGTATAACACTGGGAAGTGCTTCTTGTGCTTCGAAACACAATGTGAACTCAGCAAGGCTGATTTTGCCACATCCTTAGAAAGGAACTATAAGCCTAACAAACAGTAGCACTGACTAAAGCATTGTCAGAAATAGTCCTGAGGGACAGCTGGATGGCTCAGTTAGTTAAGGGTCTGCCTTCTACTTGGGTCATGATCCTAGGGTCCTGGGATCGAGTCCTGAGTTAGGCTCAGGAAGCCTGCTTCTCCCTCTGCCTACCACTCCTCCTGCCTGTGTTTTCTCTCTTTCTCTCTGACAAACAAATAAATAAAATCTTTAAAAAAAATAATTTTCCAGGGTGCTGGATGGCTCAGTGGGTTAAAGCCTCTGCCTTCAGCTCAGGTCATGATCCTGGTCCTGGCATCAAGCCCCACATCAGGCTCTCTGCTCAGCGGGGAGCCTGCTTCCTTCTCTCTCTCTCTCTGCTGCTCTGCCTACTTATGATCTCTGTCAAATAAATATATAAAATCTTTAAAAAACAACAAAAAAGTGGGCGCCTGGGTGGCTCAGTGGGTTAAGCCGCTGCCTTCGGCTCAGGTCATGATCTCAGGGTCCTGGGATCGAGTCCCGCATCAGGCTCTCTGCTCAGCAGGGAGCCTGCTTCCCTCTCTCTCTCTCTCTGCCTGCCTCTCTGCCTACTTGTGCTCTCTGTCTGTCAAATAAATAAATAAATGAAATCTTAAAAAAAAAAAAACACACAACAAAAAAGTAATTTTCCCAAGATGCTCAGAGGAAACTGTTGGTCCCTTCAAATAAACAAACAATAAAAAAGAATTTCAAATAAAAAGTGAATCAGAAAGGAATAGGTAAAAGAGTGGGAAGTAATATCCAGTGACCACAGGACCCTTTTTATGAGGAAAAGAGAGAGAGAATATTATTTTTCCCTAGCTAAGTCAGATCAGATCAGATTAGATCAGAAACTAACACGAAAAATGCTGCCCTGATAGATACAGTAAAGGAAACTGATCTTTTTTAAAAGTCTATTTGATTCATGGAGAATTTTATTATAATTATACAGAAATGTAGGAGATTCTTTCTTGGAATAAGCTCAAGTTTATCTCCATGGTAAGTAGAAAATGGGACAAGAGATATTTTATACCGTTTGAGTGTCAACATACATGTACCTGAGACTAGAAACAGGGATACTGCCCCAGGCAAACTCTGTCATTAATAAGCTGGGCCATTCATTAGGGATCATTCTTCTTCTCTCTTCTCTGTAGTCCCCCACCACATACTCTCTTTGCCTCCCAGCCATTGCTTACGCATTCCTGCTAGGCTCAGAGTCCTAGAAGAGGGGGTGTCAGGAGGCACAAGGGGCTTCCCCAGCATCCTGCAGGCACAGCACATAGAGAGCCACCTTGTCAAGACATGGTCCTGCAGATTTGGAATATGGGAAGAATAGCATTCACAATGAGAGAAGATTGTCACTAAGGAGACAGGATGTAAGGAAACGACACAAGCCTTCCCTAGCAGAGGACAGCTGACCATTTGTACAGAAATGGAAACAGCTATAGACCATGACAAATAAGACAGAGGACATAAGAGATCCTTCTACATATTTAAACCAAGGAATCCAACCCTACTTCCAAATCGAACTGCACAGCAGACAACAAAATCATGGACCCATCATTATTATCATGTCAGAGTTGTCAGAAAACCTCATGCAATAAAAAAAGATCCATGAAGAAGTGGTTTTTTCTGAGAGGGGTAACAAGACTGTTGTCCGTGAGAAAGATATTTCTGGCCCTAAAACTAGAGACAGTCATGTTGAAGAAACGAAGGTCTCTGTCCATGAGAGGAGCCACCAACTGACCTGTCTATTGAGTAGGGAATATAGAGCCCAGCTTGGACCTCCTCATGCCTTTTTTGAAGGGATTTTCCTTGAGTTACAATACCCTGGATAGTTAATTTTTTTCCAGTTCCAGTCAACAAATATAACTGCTGATTCATACCCTAAAGATTGGCAGCAAGAAGTTCCCACACAATTTTCTAAGACACTCCATCATAGTTGTCTCTCTGACTTGTTCTTGAGTCTTTGACAATCCGATGTCAGTTTATTATTCTGTAAAATGATGGGGTGGAGGCCATATCCCAGCTTTAAAACTCTGTGAGTATTCTGCTATTTTGGGCAGCTGGTTGTAAAACTAGTTCATATAATGCTCATTGTTTACTATAAAACGCAAAGGTACCACTTGTTCAGTGCTGATGGTCAGGCGGGAGCCAGGGAGGAGAATCATAAACTACGATAAGGCTCCCACCTTATGGTGTGGTGTTACCAAAACCATGTCATCATCTAGCCAGCAGCTGGGGGGATTCTGCTCCACAGGAACATCGAGGCTCATTGCTAATATTAGAATGAAATATTTAATAGTTTGTCCTGTTCCCTCTGCCTGGCATATTCTTTGCCCACCACCTGCTGGGCAAAGCCTCAATCTACCTGCAAGATTTAAGAGTCTCCCTCTGGGTAACTGTCAGGGAACTCCTTCCCCCAAAACACAGCTCCTGGGAACATCTGTGAGCCAATGCAACCCCAGTCTTATTGTTGCGGTCTTCAAAGTGACTGTTTTCAATCTGCTGATTTTTTTTTTCTTATCATGCTATTAAGACAAATTCATCCCCAATCCTTTGGAAAATACTAAATTAAAACTTCTCATAACCCCACTACCAAGAGTAAGCACCTCTTGAGTGTATTTTCTTCCGGTTATCTTTTTATTTTTTGCTAAGATTTTATTTATTTCTTTGTCATAGAGAGAGAGAGAGCACAGGTGGGTAGAGTGGCAGGCAGAGAGAGAGAGAGAGAGAG